TTTCCCATCTATCACATCAGTTTTGTTTTTTTGTTCAGTAATGAGAGTATTTGATTTAGTTAGGTTGAATTCGGATTAAAGCCTCGTATTAATCACAGAAGCCTCTTATGATTAGTTGAAATGTTATCTAACACATGAATTTTGATTTATCAACTTTCAATGAGTTGGTAGCATTTTTCGAAATATTGTCCTAATTTTTGCAAAGGAAGGATGAGGCAATGGTCACTGATGTGCACGTGTGCACCTACCCAAGGGGGATGCGGTCAGGTCCCGGCATGTGTCATATTTCGTTATTTTTGAAATTTTTATTGCAAAATTATTGAAGACATGGTAATAAAAAGGAGAAAAATAGGAAAAATTGCCCCAAAATTGATTCCAGCTTCTTGTGCCATCACACAACTGGGGGAAGCTATAAATTAGCGAGAGTGCTTTTGAAACTTACTTTCGTACTCAATTTCATCAGATGTGACAATACAGAGTGTACACTTCATCTTCGGAATGTGGTTTTAACTCGCTTTCCTTTCAACCGTTACATTATATTTTGCAAACCTTTTCCGTATATTTCCTTCATGTTCATTATCTAATTTATAATAACACAAGTATTGGTTTCATTTGCTTCATTATTGGGAACAAGATTTCTTATTTTCTCCTTTCAACTGACACACACAGTATGATTCTTGTTATTTCATTGGTCAAATTATATATTTTACACTAATAAGCAAACCTCTGATACCATTTTACGAAAAAAATCACCATATAAGAGATCCAATAAATGCAAAAAACTATCCCATTCCTTTTAGGCATTTTGTAAAGACAAATTAAATATGTTGACAGAAAATAATGTAAACAAACTTCAATTAAAGCACAACAATTTAGCTTTACAAAAGTACGCATAATAAACCAAAAGCAGTTTCCCTATATTTTTCACTCGCTCTTTCTTCACATCTTACAGCTTGGATACATATAAGATACTGTATGAAGTGTCCAAAGCAAAATGGTTACACCTTCAGGAGCGCGCACAAACGCAGTCAAAATGAACCACCCATTTTTTCCAAACAAACATACTGAAAATAACCGGAATGAATGTTCTCCAGGGACGGTTTACTCATGGTTTACTCTCGAAATAGGTCAAACCCTTTACGTGCTTCTGCTTCCCTCATCTGCACTGCCTCATTTGACCCCCTGAACCTTTGAAAACCTTTTCCTTTCGCAAGCGTAACCCTCAGTTTCATTATTTTGACTGATCGAAGGTTTTTCGCTTTACTTTTGTCCTTCCCCAATGTTTCTTCATACCATCTTAGATGTATCTTTTGACGTTTTATTTCAATCTTCAACGCATCATACCGCATCTACGGCCTGCATCATCGTGGTCCTCAGATGAAAAGTTTATGGATTTCGCAGGTCCTTCAGCAACATCTTCAGCGTTCTTGTTCTTTTGTGACATAGGCTTTGCATTTTTTGGTGGAGTTGTTATAAGTATGAGGGGGATTTTCGTAGGTGAACTCATGGTGAGTTGAGGGTTGTTTGGACCAACTGGTGGTGCAATGTGAGGTAAAATATCTCACTTTGTTATTTATAGAGCAGTCCCCTTAATAATTTTAACCGCCAAAATTAATTTGTTCACTTGGAGTGGGGAGTGGCCACTTTAGATACCTAATTTCCGTGGTGATGTCATATTTGCATTATTAGTATCAGACACAGTAGTTTCATTTTCTTTACTGGTGATATTCGTTCATATTTAGTATCATATTTGCGGAGATTTAACTGTTAACGCGGCACGGTTCAAATGTAAGTTACCTTCAGAACATGTGATGTCATATTTGCATTATTAGTATCATAAACACAATTTTCTTTTTCTGTACTGGTGATATGCGTTGATATTTAGTTTCATATTTGGCAAGATGCAACTGCTTACTTGGTCATGTTAAAATGCAAGTTACCTTCAGACGTGGTGATGTCATATTTGCATTGTAGGGGTCTTTTTCTTCCGGCAGAAAGTGGGCTGGGCTACTGCAAGGAGAAATCTGATGCAAGTGTCCCCTTTGTATCTGAGTCCGAAGATTATGTGTAATTTCGCTTGACTTTTCTCCTTCCCCAATGTTTCTTCATACCATCTTAGACGTATCTTCTGACGTTTTATTTCAATCTTCAACGCATCGTACTGCATCTGTCCGATACGACCTGCATCATCGTGGTCCTTAGATGAAAAGTTTATGGATTTCGCATGTCTTACAGCAACATCTTCAGCGTTCTTATTCTTGTGTGAGATAGGCTTTGCATTTTTTGGTGGAGTTGTTATAAGTATGAGGGGGATTTTCGTAGGTGAACTCATGGTGAGTTGAGGGTTGTTTGGACCAACTGGTGGTGCAATGTGAGGTAAAATATCTCACTTTGTTATTTATAGAGCAGTCCCCTTAATAATTTTAACCGCCAAAATTAATTTGTTCACTTGGAGTGGGGAGTGGCCACTTTAGATACCTAATTTCCGTGGTGATGTCATATTTGCATTATTAGTATCAGACACAGTAGTTTCATTTTCTTTACAGGTGATATTCTGACAAATTAAGTATCATATTTGCGGAGATTTAACTGTTCACGAGGCGCGGTTGAAATGTAAGTTACCTTCAAAACGTGTGATGTCATATTTGCATTATCAGTATCATAAACACAGTTTTATTTTTTGTACTGGTGATATGCGTTCATATTTAGTTCCATATTTGGCAAGATGCAACTGCTTACTTGGTCATGTTAAAATGCAAGTTACCTTCAGACGTGGTGATGTCATATTTGCATTGTAGGGGTCTTTTTCTTCCGGCAGAAAGTGGGCTGGGCTACTGCAAGGAGAAATCTGATGCAAGTGTCCCCTTTGTATCTGAGTCCGAAGATTATGCCCCAAAGATGTCTCGAAAGGGTGATGACGCCTTAGGAAACTCTTTGGTTATCTTTACCAATGAAAATAACAACAAATTGCAAGTAAATCTTCTAGCTTGGCATGAGAGAGTTATGGCATGGGAGCAAAAATTATCATGGGTTTAACACTTTAGGAGAGAGGGCTACGGTTTCCTATGAAGGTCAGAGGTTCTAATGGAAGGGAAGAGGGGTTCTAAGGAGGTTGGCTGAAGAGGGAAAAGGATGGTGAAGAGGGAAAAGGATTTTCGTAGTTTCCGGCAGCTTGATAGTGACTCTGTCAAAGCTCCTGTCAATCTGCCGAAACAGGGGAAATAAGGGAAAATGGGCAAGGATAGCACGAAAATTGTTGAGTTTGCAAGTGAGAGAGAAAGCTTGCTCTCTGAAAGTTGTGGGTTGTGTTGTGTTGGGTAGAAGGGGTCCTATTTATAGCTGCTGGGAAGGGGTCTTTTCCAAGAAACCCTAATGGTTTCTTCCTAATCTAACTAAGCTTTCCTCTTTCTTTCTTCTCCTCTTTCTTGACTTTCCCCATGGTGGCAGAAATTTGTGCTGCCCAATCCCACAAAATCAGAGACTTTTGGGAACTCCAGGCTTCTCCCGGCGGCTGCTTCAGAGGGGAGCTTCCATTTTCACCCATTTTCCTTCTCTTCTTTCCTCCTCTTTTCATGGCCAAATCTGATGAAGGAAAGGAAATGGGTGCGCCTGCTAGTTTAAGAGATAGCATCCTCCCCTGCGTGCCAATACCCCTTGGTTTCTTGGATGCTTGCACTTGGAACTCGTTCTCCCAGCAGTCCCTCACATGTGAATCCTTGGCCTCCTCGTGGTCTTCTGCTTCAGCCAAGTGCTGAGGGCCTTGACTTCCTCTTATTCAAATGGTTTGGGCCTTTTAATATAGAAAACCAAGTCACCTAATAAGTAGGTTAGGTTCACCAAATATTTGGGCTTTATGGGCTATCTAAGATAATGGGTTATTTTTTTTACTAAAGTGATGGGCTATTTTGGTTGGGTTACTCCAATTGAAACAATGGTCCATTTCCTCCCTTGTGCTTACCCATGTTTGGGCCTAAGAAAATGGGCCTGAGTCCCGAGGCCCCCACGCGACCCGAGACTTCCATTTCGTGGTGCAATGTGAGTTAAAATATATCACTTTGTTATTTATAGAGCAGTCCCCTTACTAATTTTACCTGCCAAAATTAATTTGTTCACTTCGATTGGGGAGTGGCCACTTTAGATACCTAATTTCGGTGGTGATGTCATATTCGCATTATTAGTATCAGACACAGTAGTTTCATTTTCTTTACAGGTGATATTCTGACAAATTAAGTATCATATTTGCGGAGATTTAACTGTTCACGAGGCGCGGTTGAAATGTAAGTTACCTTCAAAACGTGTGATGTCATATTTGCATTATCAGTTTTTATTTGGCATGGCATGTGGGATATGGCTCGTGCACGGCAAACTTCTATGCACTTCAAATTGGGTCTTTTTCCAATAATATATCGTCTTGGGCTAGGAATTTATTCGGGCCCAACCATGGATTTTTTGGGCCTCAACATGCATTATTAGTATCATAAACAGTGTGATCATTTACTTTACTGTTAATGGTGTGTTGATATTTAGTTTCATAGTTGGCAAAATGAAACTGATTACTTGGTCATGTTCAAATGTAACTAAGTCATTTGCTTCATAAGTGCTGATGTGATTTAAGCATAATTATTTTCACGAAAAGCATTTTTAATTTTTGACTGCTGATGTTGATAAGTAGTTTCATAAATGCGAAGGCCCAAGAGCTGTAAATGGGCCTATTCGCGCGAGAACACCAATTCTGCGCTTCCACCTTCATCGATGTGTGTGAAGTGTCCTTTCAGTCACACCGGTTGGGAAACTAAGACAATAATAACTGATCTAAACCCAATCTTGTCTTCATCCATTGTAAAGTGGGTGACGATGGTTGGGTACATACAATTCGGCACTTTCTTCTTGGTCCACAAACGACACCGTGAATTAAATAATCCAGATACCCTTTTCAGTCCCTCTTCTCCAACAACCCAGATGGACATCCCAGACTTGGCATGGTTTAAGGATGATGAGGCATGGCGAGAACATTTTTGCCTTCTGAAGATTTGTACAGCATGGCGAGAACATGCAAGTTGTTTCAACAAATGTTGAATGATCCTGAGGTTTGGCGAACCATGTCAGTAGATAAGTACCAGTGGCATGAGGACTGGTACGGGTTTGATGAAGGCAAAATTGTTGAGTTCTTGCAAAAGTGCAAAGAACATATCAATCCAGAAATAATTTACAGAGAAGCTTTTAATGACTTCTTCCTATTGAAAGATGATGAGGCGGTCAAGAACCTGCAGGTGGCGGCTATGGCAGGGCATATGGAATCCTCCTACATTGTTAGCTTGCTAGGGCTGTTGAACCCTAGTGAGGGCAAGGAAGATGCGATGGACTTTTTGTGCCATCTCAACAAAACCAAGAAAATTACAGGCAAGCATGCAGGGATTCAATCATGTATCGATTGCTGAGGTATACAATGTGTGGCATGGTGACTCCTCCAATGCTTGCAAAGTTTACTGCTGACGAAAGTTATTTTGAAGACTGCGTTCACTGTGAAGGTAATCGGGAGTGGTATAAATTATGGCACCGCAGGGGCAAATACTCTGACAACGTATACTTATGGAACTGCTGTGAACCCTGCAAATGGAAGAGGGAGCTGTTCTGCTTCCAGCGCGAACTCCATTTGATGACCTCGTGGATTTAATTTCCATATACATGGTATGATATGGGTATTATTAAGAAAGTGTGTTTTTGGTTTTGACTGTTTTTATTTAAAGGGGAAACTGTGTTAACCTTTTGTTTGTGGTTGTATTGTTTTTATTTCAAGGTTTGTTTATGGTTTTATTAAAGCGAGTACACTTGTAAGATCCAATTTAAGTCCTGTTGTAGACGTTTGTGTTACTTGGTGGCATGCGCGCATCTGTTTTGGATGTTATGTTTTTAGTTTGTCGCACACGGGGTTTTGGGTCCTATATGGTTTGAGTAAGTAGTCTGACATGGGGAATTGCTGGTTCAGATCCCCCAAACAGTCATTCGTTCAAGATGACAGACATGCATATGGCAGGGAGGTTGCGAGTTGTCAACGCATAAGGCATTATCCTTTCAGTCACTTCATTGACAATGGAAGTCTGAGCCATCCTTGATCTTCTAAGATACTCTGATGATCCCATAAATACCCCAATATTTTCCCCCTAATTTCCGGATTTTTCCTGCATTTGAAACTATATTTGCAACAAAACAAAAGTTTAATAAAGTCATCCGGGAATCCCTTTTCACTAACGTAATGATTTAAATATCGAAATTAAATAAGTGGAGAGTTTTTCCCATATTGATTATAACCATGTACGACATTTCCCCATTATTTTCGGATTTGTCCAGTAATTTTTTGGATTTCTACAACCAAAAAAAAATTAAATTGATTCCCATTTTATGGAAATTCCTTTTCACTAACATAATGATTTACATATCAATTTTAACAAAACACTCCTTGCCAAGTATTAACCCAAAACTCCTGACGAAGTATTTCATCCACAGACACAGTTAGGAATTTTCCCAATTTTTTTCATAATTTTCATGCATTTTTTTTTTACTATTTTTGGAAAATAGAAGGAATAAAATATACAAGAAATGCCAAGTGGAGGCGCTGGGGTGGGGAGCTGCAAACCTCAGTGACATGCGGCGCATTCCCATGCTGCCACACTCCAGTTTTTGCTTTTTTTTAATCGTTTCCACTTAAATATTCAATTAAAAATCCAATTTAAGGGGGAAAAATTGTAGAAAAATTCCTTCATGGTCGGGACGAGATTTCCTTTGATGACATATCCGGAAAAAGGGCAGGGCAAACAAATTTGGATACGGGATTAATGTGATCGAACAAATGAGAGTGTAGGGTTTACAAAGTGTACTAGTGTTTTCATTTGCATCATCCAAGTGTAGGGTTCGTTCCCTAATTTTATTTTTCACTCGCTCCTAAACCAGGTATTGTACTTTCTGTATGAAGTATTCATCCCCACACACAGTTAGGAATTTTTCCAATTTTGTTTGTAATTTTCATGCATTTTTTACGATTTTTGGAAAATAGAAGGAATAAAATATACAAGAAATGCCAAGTGGAGGAGCTGGGGTGGGGAGCTGCAAACCTCAGTGACATGCGGCGCATTCCCATGCTGCCACACTCCAGTTTTTGCTTTTTTTTAATCGTTTCCACTTAAATATTCAATTAAAAATCCAATTTAAGGGGGAAAAATTGTAGAAAAATTCCTTCATGGTCGGGACGAGATTTCCTTTGATGACATATCCGGAAAAAGGGCAGGGCAAACAAATTTGGATACGGGATTAATGTGATCGAACAAATGAGAGTGTAGGGTTTACAAAGTGTACTAGTGTTTTCATTTGCATCATCCAAGTGTAGGGTTCGTTCCCTAATTTTATTTTTCACTCGCTCCTAAACCAGGTATTGTACTTTCTGTATGAAGTATTCATCCCCACACACAGTTAGGAATTTTTCCAATTTTGTTTGTAATTTTCATGCATTTTTTACGATTTTTGGAAAATAGAAGGAATAAAATATACAAGAAATGCCAAGTGGAGGCATTGGAGTGTGGAGCCGCAAACCTCAGCGACACGCGGCGCATTCCCATGCCGACACACGCCAGTTTTTGCATTTTTTAATCGTTTCCACTTAAATTTTCAATTAAAAAATGACTTGAAGGGTGTAGGGGTTGGCCGCCTACGGTTTAGGGTTTACTGTGGAGTGCTTTGGGTTAAAAAATATTAAAAATTCCCCAAAGCAATGCTTTTCTTTCCCCCTCATGGGTTAGGGTTAAAAAATAAAAAAATTCCTCGAAATTTCAAATTTCCCGCTCAAGATCATGGATTGTTAGGATCAAAACAGGACAATTCAAACTTCAAACTCCATATTAGTTCTCCCCAAAAAATAAAATACAATTCCTTTTCACAATTGAAGGAAAATAATTTGGGGGTTTTGAGCAAATTTTTGGAAGGGTTGTCATCTTATGTTATCTTCATTTTCCCTTCTGGGCAAAGCCATGTCGAATTCTTCAACAAACACTGAAGCAAAGAGGTGTTGGCACTGCAATGCTGAGATGGTGATGCTAATTTACAAATCCAAAAGGAATATGGGCAGACCGTATTGGAAGTGCTTCACAACATATGTAAGTATCAGATCGGCCATTGCCTAAGCCAACGAAAACTGCTATAGAGTAGAAGCAAATTTTTTAGGGAGCTACAAGGTGTAGTGGCTATGAATGGGTGACTGGAGGCAACAGGCCAACTGAATCTCACAATCAAAACCAGCTGGACGTGAAGAAACTTAATGCATATGTTGAAGTCATCTGTATAGTGAAGGGCATTAAAAATATCCTCCTACTGTTGTAAGTTCTACCATTTCTGAATTTGGCAGTTAAATTGATGAATAAGTAAGAAACTTTTTGCGTCTGGAAATCTTCAAGCAATTTCAAGTATATATTTTAAAATTTTATTATGTTTTGGCTTTTCAAGTATATATTTTGTAATTTTGTAATCCGGACAGCTATGAAATATGAAGAAGTGTTTGGAAATCTACAATTATGAATTAATCATTGAGCATAATTAGTAAATGATTTTTTCAACATTTCATATGCCTGCATCTGAACTTCACAATCTTGTTTGCCCTAAACAAGATACATTCCTATTTATTCCACATTTGAAAACAATCATTGTCACGACCCGATTCGAAAATAAAGAATATTCCCGAATCATGGTGTGAGTCATACCATGGTCATAAGAGTAAAATCCTACAACCATGATATGATGAGAAAAAGAGCCACAATTACTACAAAATTTACTTAACACCACAAAATCAGAGTCGCAGTAGCTTGTAGTTAACTACACACTAGGATCTTTAACAAACGGTTGACTACTTACAAATATTAATTACACAAAACAACAATAAAAGCCCAGCAGCTTAGTTGAACCTGCTTCCTCAAACTTCCTCTTTAATCCTGCACAATCTATTAGGGTATGAGCATTCTAATGCCCAGTAGAGTACCATCAAACCCCTCAAAGTCAGTTATCACAGTTAATCAAAGTGTCATGCATCAAACAACACAAGATATACAAATTATGCAATCATACCAGATAAATAAATTTGCATATGCGATGATGCAATGAACTCACTCCCTTCTAATCCCACTAATTCATATCCTAGGGCAACAAGCCTGCATGTTCCATACCATGCGTTTTACCACTGTGGCTCCGAATACCCTAAAATATGAACTAGTGCCCATCCGTCCCTTAACCCATTTTTGTTTTGTTTACGAATTTCTCAACTTTCACTTATCATTAGAAGCCCTGCTCCCATCACCTCAATATATTCAAGCTCTGCTCCCGTCACCTGAATATATTTCACATTATATATCTCAAACGACACACACACACACACTCCAAACACCACTGTATTTCTGATGCATATGTAATGCAGCACAAACATAATTTATTTATGTGAATAATGCCACAGATAATAACAATAATATATCAGGCTTAAACACATAAATAATAATATTCACCCAACATCAAATAATATCCACGGAAAAACATCAATAATAATATTCACATAACATCAAATAGTATTCATCGAGCAGAGCAACAATAATATTCATATTTATAATACTATATATAAGCACCAAGATTAAAAGTGACATAGCCCAATCATTGGGAAATCAGGAAACCCTACCTCAAGTTCAGCTAGCTAAAGTACCAAATTTACCCTTCGGAAGTTCTCGAAGTTGTCGAATCTACACTTTTGATCCAATTCCTGAACAAATTCAAAATCCAAATTATTATTGAGCAATCTTCACGCTATTTCACCTAAGACCAAACTCAACCTTGCGCATTTCAAAGATTATGCGCGAAAATGATGAAAATGCCCTTAGGACCAACCCGGGGTCCAAAGCGGTCAAATCTCGTTCAAAATAATCTAAAACTTGGTCCTATGCCCTGTCAACACCGAAACAAGGCCAACGACACCCGTTATCCAAAAGTTACTATTTGGGTCCCGTGGGCCCCACAAAACAACTCATACTTTGCACCACCTCGGATTGACTCAAAACATATACCATCGGACTCGGATCAAAAAATTGAGTCGAATGGACTAAAAATATGGCGTCGGAGGCTGCCGGAACAGCCGCCACGCGCCGCCACTTGCCGGAGCCGCGAGTGGGCTTGCTCCGGTTACTGTTCATCATCTTCAAAAAGAAATCCTGCAACTTCCCCTGTTTTCCAGATTTAATCCCAGATTTTGTGAGCCATTTTGACCAACCAAACGTCAGTGAAAATGGTAAAACTTATAATGGTTTTGAAGCTTAATATCTCTAGTTTCTAACCCAACAAACCACACTGAAAACGGATCTAAAACGAAGGAGAAAACTAACTTCAAAGTTGGACTCGTGGCTGGTTTTCTACAGAAAACAGATTTTTTTCCAAACTTTGTACAAGTGTTCAACCTATCAAAACTCAGCCAAATTCGACGAAACCAATTGTGTTTTGTTCCTTGATAAGTCTAGTTCAAAACCCAACAAATGGATTCCTCAAACACGCAAAGGATTAGAAGAAACATAGAGCCAAAGTCAGGTTTGCGGACTGCAAATTTCCAGAAAATGCAAATTTCCAGATTTTGTTCAAAGTTGTTTTCAACCATTCTAACACCCCAAGTGGTTCCTAAGACTTCTAAAACTCTTCTAAACCTCATACCTATCATTAGAAGTCATCAAAAACTCAAAATGAAACCAAATCAACAACACCCTCCCTTGAAAAAAAATGCTCTATACACCCAATCCGAAAATAGAGGTTCAACCTCTTCCAATTCAATCTTCCTAACATTCAAAGGACTCAAATTATTCTTTAAGAGATTAAAATCACACAACCACAAGGTTAAAACCAGAAATTTTGAAATCAACTCACCTTAGAAACTCTCTTCTTCTCTTCCTCCTATCTTCTCCTTTCTTCCGCACCCCAACTTCCATTTCTTTCATCCCAAAAATTTATCTTAGTTTAGCAATTAATTTTTCTTACTCACCTTAGAAACTCTCTTCTTCTCTTCCTCCTATCTTCTCCTTTCTTCCGCACCCCAACTTCCATTTCTTTCATCCCAAAAATTTATCTTAGTTTAAGAAATTAATTTTTCTTAGCTTAGACTAGGTGACTCACCTATCCTAGGTTTACAACTCATCCAAATTGAGATCAAAACCAGATTTTTTGAAGGGATTGCATGAGGGAAGGGGGAAGGAATGAAGGAGGGAAGAAGGCTTGGCTTACACGTTGCCTCTTTTTTTTCTTTTTTTTTTTTTTTTGTGGTTATTATCTACAAGGGTATTTTGGTAATCTATCATACATAGGGGTGTTTTTTGGTCATTTTTGTCCAACTTCAAATTAAACATACTTAATTTAATAATCTCAATCCAAAATCTTTTGATAAAATACCCATAATCATTCTCCACCATTAAAATATTTTTCACTAAAATATTAAAATCCACCTTGAATTTTTCGGGGTATTACAATCATGCACCATTTAGGGTTTAGGGTTCAGCATAGTATCAACAATATGTGTTCACGGTTTCGTACAGGTTGTATTTGAACCCAATAAAAAAACTTATTCTTTAATTTTAAGTGAAAAGGGGGAGTTGGATCATAAAGAAGAGTTGTTCCTTAACACGTAAGACTCAAAACTACCTTTTCAAAACCTTACTACAAACGGGAAAAATGCGCTCAAGCATGCAAAGAAAGCTCTTCGAGCTTCCCTTATATTATAGAAAGGTTAGTTCTCTAACTTGTGAATTGAGCCAATACCAAGCTATATGATATTTCTTCAGTTCAACAACTGTTACCTACATAATTACAAACAGCCCACCCAATTAAATGAAGTTTGCAAGTTCATATACTACACCCACCCAGTTAAAAACTTTGCAACTTATGTCATATTGTCTCTCCTAATTAATCACAGGTTCCTATATCCCTGCAACAACTGCACAGTGAGCTTCAACCGATACAAGGGCATGGCGTCATGGGAAATATTGGCTAGGTCTACATTGGAGGTCAGAAACTTGCAGTATTTGAGAATGTACATCCCACAGTCGCCCCTGAAATATAGCAAAAAAACTTGATTCACAGACGACCATGATTTAGCCAACTTATGCCCTTCGCCCTTGACCATTCCCAGTAGACGATTGCTGTGCTACCTGTCGTCCTTTCCCATATACGACTTCATTTGCATGTAATCTAAGGCAGCACATTTCTGCATAGTGGCACACGAGTTATTCATCATGACGGATATGGAATTTGAACACAAATAATGCTTATGAAATAATACAGACCTGAAAAGTGGTGTCCAGTATTGTCTAGTCAGAACCCACCCACTTGCCAGACCTGTTGTGCCGCTCCCGTAGCAAATGCAAGGCCATGCCAATGTTCTACATAAAAGGGTTGTTTCCATTATTAAATCAATAAATTACAACATAGCAAGGGCATTTCGACAAAATCCCAAATCAATCAATGCTTACTGAGTCACCCAACTAACCGTCGTTGGTCAGCAACCGAACAAAGAAGTTATGCGAACCTTCCATTCCTTCTTCTCCACATAACCGCACATCTGAACTATATTTGTCAATCATTGTTATTATCAATTCCGTTTCACCAGTGACTCAATAGGTAATCACAATAAACCATTTACATTTCACTAAGGACGGGCAAAGTGAATTTACTTTACTTCTGTTTGTACCATATCTGACCCTCCACTCATATTGTGACACGTGGAATAGTAAGCTCTCCCAATCGCCCAGACGATCAAACAATCGACATCAGCTACCGAATCTACAATCAGTACGGGTTGACGATTCTGCGGAACAAACCTCGAAGGCCCTGCCCTAAATATCCAAAGACTTGTGTCGACCTCAGAGGACCCTCCCACGAGTCCCACATCGAAATTAAGTACTAAGAGCATGCCAAATGCCCTCTATAAATAAGCCCCTTTACTACAACATGAGGGGTAAGACTTTTCAGCTTGACTTTTAGGCTAAATACATTGTCAATAGAAAAGCTCCCAGAAAGAAATCTTACTTCGGCATCGGAGGGTCTTAGGCTGGTTCCACATCGGTTCCATAGACCTCACGGGCCTCAGCTTTCCTTGATTCAGGATCGGCATCCCAGGACGGGAAGAATCTGCGTCAAGCACTCAATCGATCTCTAGATCGTCGACATCACTTGTAAGTTGCACTCATCTCTATCTGTTCAGTTTTAGTGCCAATAGATTGGTGCTGTTTGTGGGAATCGATAAGTCAATCAACCCATATCTCAAAACCTAAAATGAATCCGTCTTCATCCCTCCCTAACGATGGTCCCATCATTGGCCTCGGTAGCGAGCCAAGCCCCGCTCCACCACCTAACACACCCCGAACAGAAACACCTGTCGGCAGAGTACTCTGGAAACCCGCATGGAGACTCTACAGCGAGAAATGGCAAAAATGCAGGAGCACAACAATATCCTCTCTTCTAAACTTGATGACACCCAGAGGCAGCTTCATGATCAGCAAACGCACTCAGCCCAGCTACAAGACGATCTTGAACGGACCATGCAGCTTCAGCAGGAGAAGTCATTCAAAAGTGTGCCGAAGCCCAGAGCTCGGGATAAAGGAAAACAGCAAACTACAGGCAAACCATCTGCCTTTCGAAGCCTGCTCGTACCCTCCCCAGAGGAACGTCGCCGAGAATACCAAGTCTACTCCGACTGTCGCGATAGGATCAACGATTGGCGCAAAGAACGACGACCCTCACCCATCCCGATCCAAGCCAAACTCAATGATCGACGCCTGAAGGTACTCAGACTAAAATCCCCCATATGCCAAAGGTACGACGCGATTGGCCTGGAAGAAACGGATGAATCAGACTATGTTCCAACTTCACCAGGAACCACTGTCTCCCACCGATCGGCGGGACCTTCGAAAGAGCGCCATAGCCACCAATCAAACGAGGAGAACGATCGGCATAAGGAAGGCTACGGGAGGAGCTCTAGCCGAACGGCAGATCAGAAAAACAGGGATACAACGCCGGCCAGTGGACAGATAGCCGGGCGGCAGAAACCTTCTGTGACGACCTTCCCCCTGCCGACCCAACCATCCGTCTCCTCCTCCAGAAGATGAACCGGATCGAGGAGGAGCATACTTGTATTCGAATATGAAACTTAAACATAAAACCGAATCAAAAGAAACTTGGATAAAAACGCCACAAATAATGTTTGTGCCTAATAAATCACAGTCGTAAAAATGACTGAAGGAGTTTCCGCTCAGCCCTAGCACCTATTCATGAACTGGAACGTGGCGTTTTGTCTTCTCAGAGACAAAGGAAAAGCTGCAAAGGCATAATCATCTCGGCCTCGACTGCGGCATTATGGGCCGAGGCCGAAGGACGAAGGAGACACGGCCAAAGATATTGGAGTCAAATCACCACGTGGCAGCAGGGTCCCACGCTTCATTTAATGAAGTAACGCCTCTGACTAGCAAACCCACTAGCCGCAAGAAGGCATTTAATGCACGAGGGAAGAAGGGAAGTGACGACAAGTTAGGATTTGGTGATAGAAATCAGAGTGGTTAGGCGCAAACATTCTTGCAAATATTCTTACAACTTGAGGTCAGTTCAACCAACCACCAGACCAGGGCATTAAATGCGTCCCCACGGCCAGAGGTGCAGAACCCACGATCAGGGCGGCAGCCGAGATTCACCAGGATTTATGGGGTCACACCATCATGCTTCGCGATCCCAAATGTCGATTGGACTACCCACTTGCTCTGATCAGACTCCACCATGCAGATTTTCAGCATCGATTACTCCTCCAGAGCTTTTCCTATAAGGATTTATGGGGTCACACCACCATGCTTCACGATTCCAAATGTCGATTGGACTATCCACTTGCTCTGATCAAGCTCCGTCATGCAGATTTTCAGCCTCGATTACTCCTCCAGAGCTCTTCCTATAAATACCAAGCTCAAGCTACATTCAAAGGGTTCAAACACTAAACCAAAAGCCTCCCACGGAGCAAATTATATTTTCCTGTAATGCACTTTCAATACCTTTACTTGCTTTCTTAGGAGTAGTGATAGATTGTAAGGAAAATCCATTCATCAATATATCATACGACCCTTGATTTTCAAGGCTCCGGAGCACCATCTTTGTTACGCTCTCATTCACCCCATATATCATACGACCGTCGCCCTCTGAGCAACGCGTCGGAGCACCGCCCAAAACCCACCATCAACACCACCACTAAACGGCCTTGTATCTCAGGCCGTGAACCTGACGGCCGAGATCAGTTCCTCTCTCGGCCACAATCGTTTGATTAGAAGTCAGACTCAAAACAGGCGCACCACTTAAACCATTCTATCCAAACCACATCATCATCTCGACGCACGGTAGACCGTGCTGGCATGCCCGCGCACAACCGCACCGCATCCAAAAGAAGGACGTCAACAGGGCGTGAGATTTGCGCTGCCAACAAATAATAATAAAATAAAGTCAGTTTCTAAGTCAAGGGAGCTGCAGCATTGTTCATCCCACCGTCGGCATCAGCATTCATAGGCTTGGCACCAGTTGACGCCTCGGCAGCAGGCACACCGGCAGATGTCGGTACAAGATGGCCCTCTTCCTCCTCACTGCTGGAGTCGGTCTCACTGGCAGAATCGGCATCGGCATCTTCTCCCTTATATGCCTCGACCATCTCCTCGGTCATACCCTCAGGCAACAGAGGTGGATCCCGGAGGAAGTTCAGGTTCAACTCCTTTGCCCGTGACCGCTCGGCCGCGTCCATGGCCACCTCAACTGCTGCCTTAGCCTCTTGAGCCTCCACCACCGCCAACTCAACAACAGCTAGCTTCAACGAGAGCTCCGCGATCTTCGCCGCGTTTTCCTTGGCATGACGATCGGCATCCTGTACCATATCTGACCTTCCACTCATACTGTGGCACGTGGAATAGTAAGCTCTCCCAATCGCCCAGACGATCAAACAATCGGCATCAGCTATCGAATCTACAATCGGTATGGGTTGACGATTCTACGGAACAAACCTCGAAGGCCCTGCCCTAAATATCCAAAGACTCGTGTCGACCTCAGAGG